TTCCAGGGATGGTGACTCCACCACCTCCCTGGGCAATCTATTCCAGTGCCTGAACACCCAAACAGGGAAAATATTTCTCCTCACATCCAATCTGACTCTCCCCTGGCTCAGCTCAAGGCCATTCCCTCTATCCTCTCCCTGCAGCCCTGGCAGGACACACATCCCACACCTCTCTCCAACCCTGGCAGGAGTTGCAGAGAGCCAGGAGGTCACCCCTGAGCCTCTTCTCCAGGCTAAACAAACCCAATTCCCTCAGCCCTTCCTCATCCCACATGTTTTCCAGCCCTTTTCTGCCCTTGTTGCCTTTGACTGAACTCACTCAGTGCCTCAATGTCCTGTTTGCAGTGAGGGGCCCAAAACTGAGCACACTTCATCCTGTTTACCCCTCAAAAAACCCACCTGAATATCCCAAAGCCATTCCTGTTCATTGAGAGCACAGTGATCACAGGTCACAGGGAGTTTCTTGGGGGGTTTTTAGGTGTGTCTTCTCAGGAAGAAGCACTAAGGAAAAGCAGCTTGTCTGTGGTTTGGGTGGAGCATTCGATGAACACCTTAGAGGATGTTTGATCATTTGCCTTTTAGAGTAAGTCTCCTTTGAATTTTCAGTGTTTCCAAGAGGTAAAAATGCCCAGTACTGCTGAGGGTACCTGGCAGACTAAGGAATGGTAAGTTAGATCTACCAGGTCAGAAGACAGCAGAACATACTTTCAGTTTTCCAGTCAGCTTTGCCCAGAGTTTTGTTTTGCTTTTTATCGAAATGTGAAATCCTCCTAGAAATGATAATTCTCTGGGGGATTTTGGATGTTACTGATCTTTGGAAGAGTCACCAGATTTTTCTGGGAGGAGCTGTGGATGTTTTAGGTAGCTCGTGTACTTTAGAATTTGCTCATCTTTACGTTAAGTGCAGTGGGGAAGTTATTTTTCTTGAGCCATGTACAGTGCTGAAGCTTCCTCAGTGCAGTTTCTGGTTTGCAGTTCAGCTGTGCAGTTCTGCTGAAACCAGTGTGGCTTTCTGCTATCTCAGTGTGTGGGTTTCCTCCTTTTCTGAGCCTTAAAGAAAGAAATACTATATGTGTGTGTGTATTTTCTTAAAATACTTCTATCACTTTGGGCTCACAGACATTTCTAAGTCAGGGTGGGAGAGCTCTGTGTTCTTCTCCTTGCAGCTCTGGAGTGTGGATTAGTGGCAAGGACTTCCCAGACTTCAGATAGATTGGATAAAGACAAGCTGAAATTTATGTCTCCAACTGTGTCTTAATAAATTGCAAATTGAGCTCATGTTTGCCATTTTAATCAAGTGATAATTCCTGAACTCATTTTGTCTCTGCCTGGTGGCATATTTAATATCAAAGATGGTGCTTACTGTTAATTTCTCTAAGCTCCAGTTGAAGATGAAATGATTTGAAATGTGTTGATAGATTTTTTACATATTCATTTAAACATAATAAAAGCAAAATGGGCTTGTTAAAAGTGGCATCTGAGTAGGTGTAGTATCTAGGTAGTTTATGACAATCATCTGAATAAACTCTCTGGTCCACTAGAAAAAAGTAGTAAGTAAGGAACAATTTTTCAAACATTGATACCACCTAGTGGTAAAAAATATTGTTACTTGTTTACATAATTGTGTACTCAGAATAATGTGAAGTTTGTGTTATGGGTAAAGAAAGGGGAATTAAACTCTTTTGTAATATTTTTTGTAATATCTGTACATATTGTAATTGTAATATTTTTTGTAATATCTGTACATATGCAGTACTGCAGAAGCTGAGAGTGGCCAGCTAGAATCTCAAAGGTTGCACTTCATTGATTGATACTTCCAGGGATGATTTAAATACAGTTTGAAAAATTTACTCTGTCCCATTAAAAAAACAAACAAATCACAACTGAATGAGGGCAATGGGGACTTTGTACAGGGGTGGAAAAAAGTCCTTTTTATGTGTGTGTATAGAATTTTGGGGGTTGGAATGGACCTTATAGCTCCTCCAGCCCCAACCCCTGCCCTGGGCAGGGACACCTCCCACCAGAGCAGGTTGCTCAAGGCTCATCCAACCTGGAATGAACAGTGCCAGGGTTGGGGCAGCCACAGCCTCCCTGGGCAACCTGGGCCAGGTTTTTTTTTTTTGGACATGTATACATGTCAAAACCCCACAAGTTTGTATTTTTTATCTTAATAAATCTGTCTGTGGTTTGAATTCAGGTAAAATTAAGGGTTGGGAATTCCTGGCCCTATCATGAATGTGATTTTTGCAATGAACAGGAGTGGAGAGATGGTCTTAGGGAACACTGTCCTGGCAAAATGTAGAGTTGGCTAAGTTCCCAGCCCTGGTTGAGGATGGATCTGCAGAGCTGATCCTGTGGCACGAGGAGAGGATGGTGTGTGGTGGGAGAGGCCGAAGGCTCCTGGTTCTGCAGGTGGGACCAGTGCACACCAGGCAGGAATGGCTACAGTGATGCTCACTGTGTGTGGTGCCAAGAGAGATCAGATCCAGATCAGATTATGGAGAGTTCCTTTCTGGGGAAAAGATTGCCCAAATACTGTTTTAACAAACAGAAAACTTTAGCCCTTTGAATTGCAGCTGATGTAGGTCCAGTATAAAGTTCTGTTGATCCTTGTAACATCTGTAATGCTACAAGCAACACGAAGTTAGTGACACAGCTGCTCCTCACTGCTTTCCCTCTCCCTTCTCCTCTCTAGGTACTTGTTTCACAGTGGCAATCCAGAGCACCCAGGAGACATACTTCTAAACACAACTGTAGAAGTTTTGCCTTTCCAGGTATGTATGTATTGATTTCTGTCTTCTCCATTACAGGATAAAAGCAAAATCTCCTAATTTTATTGGCTTTTTTTTAACAGGCTGAGGGAGATATAAGTGCCTTTTTTCTCTGTGAACTTGATGCTCTCCTACTTTTTCTTGGTTTAGTTGGATCTATTCACAGAAGGCTGTTGTAACTGTTCAGTGTTCACTCAGGGTGCAAATCTGCTACAAGTGCTGTTGGTAATTTGGAGGTCAACAAGGTCCTTTTCTTCCAGTTCACTGCTGCTATTTAAAACCAAAAAAAACTTCCAGTTCACTGCTGCTATTTAAAACAGAAAAAAACCCCAGTCTTCCCTCTCCTCTGTGTGTTTTGCAGACTGGAAAAGCTAAGTCAATCTGCTTTGTGACTTAGCAAAAATGTCTTAGCTCAGGAATTGACACACATGCAAACCTGAGTAGATATTGAGCTGTATGGACTCTTAGGCACAATGTGTCCCTTTCTCCTGATTACTGGTTTTCCCCATAAATTAGTCTGATTTTTATCACAGGAGAGCACTACACTATCTGAAGTATGTTCTTGCTTGAAGTCAGATGGTATGGGGTTTTTTTTTCTTCCACTAGATGTTATAGCTAACCATTTATATCACAAAAACCTGTGAGAAAATCAAGCTATTACTCTGTATAAGTTTATTTTATCTAGTATTAAAATGACAAAGTATTTCTATCTTCTCCCATCTACCTGGTGTAGGAATATTGAAATCTATGCCTAAATTGCCATATGCTTAATTTTTTTTAAAAAACTTCTTTTTGAGTGCATTTTTTAAAAGTAAGTAATCATGGAGGAGTTCACATCTCCACGTTCACAGTCTGCCTGCCTTGGAGCAAGCAAAAATAGGGAATTCTGACTACCCCCACCCCCCAAAAGAAACTGGGTAGTTTGAGTCTAATTATACAAGATGATCTGTGGGACATTATATCATAAGATCTGTGGGTTTTGTTTCTCAAGACCTGTGGAAATACACTCAGCCACAAAACCAGCAGCAGTTGTCACTTTGTCTAAGCCCAAGATACGACAAGAATGCACAAGATAATGAGCAAAAATGTGCATCAAGGCTCTCTCTTTTTTTGGCTATACTCGACTGTGGAATGTTCCTCAAACTGGAGCATCCCTTAAGGAAGTAATGGTACTGAGCTGCTCGTGCTATTGGTGCTATTTGGGGAAGAGGGAAACAGAAAATTCTGCATGTAGCTTGTTCCTAAGCCACTGGAGTCAGCAGAAAATGTTGGCAGTATGAGGACAGCAGCTCCTCAGGGACCTCTAGCTCCACTACGGACATCAGCAGAGCCACGAGTCCAGTCAGGTACTTCAACCCTGATCCTTCCTAAGCACAATTTAGAAAAATAAAAACCAACCCTTAGAAACCAGAGTGGCCCCAGACTGAATTTCTCAGGGGTTCAATTAACGTACTAAGAAAAAAATCCCTAAAACAACCCATAACAAAAAAATGCCCCCAAAGCCCAAAGAAACAAATAAAGCCTCTTCCCCCCAGAGTAAACAACCCCCTAAAATGCCCGCCCAAAGAAACAAATAAAGCCTCTTCTCCCCAGAGTAAACAAACCCAAAAAAATTCCCACCACTTTGTCTACAGCTTCCCTTCAAAGTAGGTGTTAATAAAAAAATACCCTGATGGATTTAATCTCCTGGTTTATCCAGCATTTTTAGTTGATTCCAAGGAAATTCTCACAGGGGGTCTTTCAGTATTGGCTCATTTGGGCCCAAAGAAACAAATAAAGCCTCTTCTCCCCAGAGTAAACAAACCCAAAAAAATTCCCACCACTTTGTCTACAGCTTCCCTTCAAAGTAGGTGTTAATAAAAAAATACCCTGATGGATTTAATCTCCTGGTTTATCCAGCATTTTTAGTTGATTCCAAGGAAATTCTCACAGGGGGTCTTTCAGTATTGGCTCATTTGGTTGTGGTTGTAATTTTCAAGCTGTTTTTCAAGCTCTGCTGTACAAATGAATATTTTTTTCTGCTGATGAAAAATACCCTGATTGATCCTTTTTTTAGTGAGGCAATGATAATTGCAATGCTTCCCTGGCTGCTCTGATGGCTTTTCATCACACCCAAAGTCTTAGATCAAATTTAAGCTGGAAGTTTCATTTGTCCTGATAGAAAAGAAGGCAAGATCCTGCTTTTGCTTTTGTTGTGCTGTGTATGGCAGTGTCTGCTCAGTATTCTGCCCATGTGGCAGTTACCATGCAAGTTTCGTGGGGCACTTAGAGTACTTCTTTTTCCTCCTTTGAAGCCAGACAGTGTTCTGGAACTGGTTTTGCTTTTTTCTGTGTGTTGGCCTGTGTAAGTCACTATTCTAGGCTGATTTGTAGTTATTTAGGGAAGATGGATGCTGAGCATATAAGAAATGTGCACACATATTTGTCTTTCCCTGCTGGAGTGATATGTCAGAATAAATGATCTCATTTCTGCTTTGTTGTTCTAGAATGAAGAACTGGTATTAAGCAAAGAAACCAAAGACAAACGCTTAGAGGATGGTTACTTCAGGATAGGTATGTCACAGTGGGGAGAAATGTCTGTTGTTACTACTGCAACTCTGAAAAGACATTTTCATTTAAACCAAAGCAAACTCCAACCTGATTATTGATCATTCATTTGTGGGTACATCACTGTGCTGGTTTGGGCTGAAGTGGAGGTAACTTTCTTCCCAGTGGCTAGTGTGGGGCTGTGTTTTGGATTTGTGCAGAACACAGAGTTGATAATGCAGAGATGTTTTTGTTGTTGCTGAGCAGAGCTCACACAGAGCCAAGGCCTTTGCTGCTTTCTGTACTGCCACACTGGGGAGGGAGTTGGGGGTACATGGGAGATTGGGAGGAGACACAGCTGGGACAGGTGACCCAAACTGACCCAAGGGATATTCCACACCATAGCACATCATGCTCAGGGGATAAGGTGGGAGGCAGAAGGAGGAAGGAGGGACATCTGGAGTGATGTGTTTCTCTTCCCAAGGAACCATTCCATGTGCTGGTCCCTGCTCTCCTGGAGATGGCTGAACACCTCCTGCCCATGGGAAGCAGTGAATGAATTCCTTGTTTTGCTTTGCTTGTGTGTGCAGCTTTTGCTTCTCTATTAAACTCTCTTTATCTCAACCCATGAGTTTTTCTAGCTTTTGCCCTTCTGATTCTCTCCCCATCCCGTTGGTGGGGCAGGGTGTGAGTGGCTCTGTGGTTCTTGGTTGCTGCTGGGGTTAAACCACAACACTGACCTTGTAATCTTTACTTAATATTGTTTCCACTATTTCTTTCTGAGGCTGATGTAGTAAACAAAGATCTAGTGTGACTCTTAGTTGTATTGCAGCTACATCCAACTTCTGTGCCAGGACTGATCACCTAGATTATAGTAGAGGCATTTCCAGGTTGTGTGAGATCCCCTGCTCTGTGAGCTCAGTGTTTGGCCTGGATTGGAACCCACTCCAGTCAGTAGTCTTGTCATAGGATGAGATTAGCATTTCCACAGCCAAGTAGCTGGTGGGGAAGGTGTCTGGATACACATTGGCAAAGGAGAAATTTTGCTCATGGATTGTATTGAATTGCTGGACATAGGTTGGGGAATCCTTTTCTAATGAAAATACGTTTTTTTGTCTTACTAAATTAGTTGTTGTGTATATGTTTTCAGTGTAAAACCTAACTGTGCTTTTCAATTGGGTTCTTACTCATCCTAATATAATTGCAGGTGGTTGAAATAGGAATATGTTTCACATGAATCCCTTGTCCTTAATCCTCCTTGAAAACACATCAGCAAAGGCTTCACGTTTAGTTCCATGATATTAAATGAATACCTGTGCCAAATTCCTCACAGAGTTTGAGGTGCTAATGCCTTCAGACAGTTCAAAATTCTTACTCTTCCATGGAATACCATCAGGTCTGTGTGCTCTGCTGATCTGCCCCATGTTGTTTGCAGCTGCAGAGCTGAATCTGAGGTTCACAATCCCTCAGTGTCTCCTGTTTTGGCAGTGATCCCTGTCAGGAGGTTTCACCTGAGAATCGTGGGGCTACAGACAGGTTTTGAAGGACACAGATTCTGTACTTCTGTTTGTTGAACAGAACATAGTTGAGGATGTGCTTTTGCTTCTTTTGCAGGGAAATTTGAAAACGGTGTAGCTGAAGGAACAGTTGATCCCAGCCTGAACCCTATCTCCTCATTCCGACTCTCAGTGATCCAGAATTCAGCAGTTTGGGCAATCCTGAATGAGGTGAGAGGTGCTAGAAAGTTTCTAAGTGGCAAACGTGAGCTTTCTTCATTCTGTCAGTGTTTTGAAGCTCAAACTTTTGGCTAATGCTACAAATAATTCCCTCTTATTGCTGAGAATTGTAATGCACTAAACCATGACGTGGTTTTTTTTTTTTTGGCTTCTCTATTTCAGATTCATATTAAAAAGATGACAAACTGATCATGGAAATCTGCTTTAGAGGAAAAATAATCCTTGAAAACTTTTCCTACGAAATCTGACATCCTTGGCAAGTCACAAATTGAAAATACTGAGCATGCACCTTATTCCAAATTTCGTTCTTTTTCACTTGAACTCTACCTCTTGTGAAATCTACTGTAGATGAGAAGATTGTACTTTCCCCTTCTTATCTGATCCATCCAGAAACTGATGCTCCACACCGATCACGTTGGTCTGAGGCCCAAGTTGTCCTCACTGTAATGTGACTTTACCATCTGATGGTTACAGAACCCAAACCACACTTAACCTGTACTATTTTGATAGTCTAGTAATGTAGAGAAGTTGTACATATTGTTACATTCCTTGAAGAAGAAGAAGAAAATATAATTATTGTTAAATATGTTTTATGAAGGGGGTACTTTGGGAGTTCCATTTATTTTCTATAACAAGAACCCTCTTTTATAGACTGTCAGGGATATATATTAAAAATGTTAGGGATATTTAATTTATTAAAATAATTTGCAAAGTACATATTTTTATGCAGTAAAATTTTAAATTGATATAGTTTTTTTATGAATTCTCTAGTTTAAGTTATCTTTCTACATTTTTCTTTGGAGATGCAAACATAAATTAATACCATATTTCAAATCTACTGCCATGTTTCAAAACCAAATTCGATTAAGTTTCTAAATTACGTAGTTTTGTACACAGAATCTGAATGATGTTCAGAGGCATAAACAGAGTTCTGAAGAGCATTATTCTTTGGGGCTATGGAATTCCACTATGTACAGTTTGTAGCCACATGAAAAGCATGTTGAGATGTCTCTTTTCATACTCTGTACTAAATCTCCAGTGATTTCAGATCGAATCCATTGCATTTTAGAAGAAATTTTTTTTTGGATTCCGAACAGTTCTTTCTAAAAATCTTTGTAAACATTTCCTAGCCTGAACAAATTCATTTTCTGTACTGAAAAAGAAAATCAATCATTCTCCAGCTTTGCTTTGGAGTGACAGAGTTTGCCTTTTATCAGAAGAATCAGGAGTTGGATACATTTGCTCTAGGGAGGGTCTCCCTGTTCTGTTTTTGCAGCCTTTATTTGGACACATTGCAGTGAGAGCTGCAGTTTGGTTTTATTTCCTACCATTGTTCCAGGATTTTAGTTTGACTCCTTTGTTGATCAGTGTAGTAACTCACAGTAGCTTTTTACCAGGATCTGAATTTGGCCCCAAGTTCATCCCCTGCCTTTTTGTTTCAAGGGAAGTGACAGTGATCTTAAATAAATCAGAAACTCAGAACCAAATGTGGTTTGGATTCCATCCAGGGCAGAGTTGTTGCAGTGCTAATGCTGCAGCTCTTAGGAGTTTTTCTGCTTAGGTGCTTATGTGTGAGGACACAGGCAGGGGAAGGTTTCAGTTACCCAGTCAGAAAAGATCAGGGAAAGGAGAGGCAGAAATTCCTCCCTTTGATAGGAGTGAAGTGCCTGACTGACACTGGAGAGAGGCAACTACCCTGGTGTGGGGATCCTCAGCCCCCTGGAACTGACAGCTTGAAAGCTGACCAGGGGAAAAACCCCACTCTGCTATCCCCAACATAGAATCATTTCAGCTGGAAAAGACCTTTAAGGTCTTTGTGGTCCACAAACCCTATTGCAGGTCCCTGATCTAGAGTGGACATTGTGCACTTGTATCTCTAGTGTTGTTTCTCTAATAGATTTGGCCTCTCTGTCATGACACATTTGTAAGGAGCAGGAGCCTAAACCTGACTCTCCAGCACTGCAGGTTCTGTACCCTGGGGTACAGAGCTGACCTGGCTCTTCTTCTGCCTTGCTGGAAAATTGTGTTGTAGCTTTGACAGTTCAGCAGTGTTCGAGGTGATGAGCTTAACTACTTCTACAGACCTGTCATTTGCTTTAGCTGTGTTGTCTGGGGACACAGAGGCAAGACCTGCTGTTTAGACTGTCTAGTATAAGTTCAGGAAAAGTCAGAAGGTTTCCAGACAGGCCTTGCTTACTTTTTCTGGTTGCATCAGGTGGTGTAAGTGAAATGTTACCTGGAAGACTCATGTTGCCCACAGAGGCTGTGGGCAGAAGCCACATCCAAGGAGTTTATCCTTGGATTGAGGAGTGTGGAGGACTCAGCTCTGAATCCTGTGTGCCTCCAGCCTGTTGTGGTGCTCCAGCCCCATTTGTCACCTGCATAATGCTATTCCATCCAATTAGTGACATGCAAAGGCTTTTTAGCACACATCAGCCAGCAAAGGCCTGAGGAAGTGTTGAGGTTTTCTTCTCAGCTGTGACTGTGAGTGAATTAATCAATTTATTTGAGCTGGAGCTATTTATTTAGACTGCAGAAACACGTTAGACATTGCAGTTTCTTAATAGAAGTAGTTTTCCTGATGGTGATTTCTTCCATTTTTCCATGAGTTCAGAAGTTTGCTGGTACCACTTCCTTAAGAAAGGTGTGTGCTTGTTCCCAAAGCATCACTGTTTCTGATGTTTCAGGGTAGCTAAGATGAGCCATTGCTGATGTATTTAAATACACAGAACCTGTACCACATTGACTGCAGGACTCTGGGTAACAGTATATTTAGTTTTCAAAAATGCTGAGAAGAAACTTGTCCAAAACAACAAATGAACTGGGGCTTGGTAGAAGGTGGGTTGTTTATTCTAGAGATTGGTGCATTTTGATTACACTGCACGAGCAGGGCTTGAAAATACTCTGGTCTGCTTTAATACTTTCAATGTTCCTGAGCTTATATGCTCTCAAAATAAATGTGCCACATAAATACAAGTCATGTTCCATAGATTCAGGTAAATTCAGAGCTGGTGTAATCAGGTAGTTCTGCAAATCTGCTTGGAAATTTTGCTGAGAACTAGAAAAAGCCAAGAAAATATTTTCTATCTAATTATTTCTGCAGACAGCTGTTTTGTGCTTTCTGCCTTTCAAATTCCAATCCCTAAATCAGGCTAAAGTAGTGCAAGTCTCCTTATTGGTATTATGGTGAAACAAGAACACTTGGGCTGTTTGGCTCATCAGCCTTTAGCTCAGGCACTGCTTGTGCTCCAGAGGGACCACTGTGTCCTGCACATCTCTCTTGGAAGTTATGTCACCATAAGAGATCTTAACCAGCATCTTAAACCTGTTACCTGATGTGGAGGAGTTTTCTCCTCCATATATTTAATACCAAGTTATTTTGGTTGTGGCCTTAAAAATCCCCTCTAGGCCAGAGTTATCAAGTAATGGGAAGTGATTCAAAATAAACAGCATTATCCTACGATCCTGTTAGCTCCTTCTGATGCTGTTAAAGCTTCAGCAGAGCCAACTTTGTGAAACCAAAGGCATTGCCAGAAACCTTTGTTGTCTGGGCAAATGACTCTTCTGACACTGGATGCCACACAGACTGGCTGATGGGAGCACTGGCTTTTCTGAGCTGGTGGAGATTGCTCGGGACCAAGGACATTTGACAAGACTCTCAGTATGATCTTGCTTTGCTCAGTGGGTTCTACTGAAAGCTTTGTAAATAATGTGAACAGGATGCCATCCCAAATCAGCACTTTGTTACTCAATGAGGGTTTCTAAAGCACTGTACAAAGCTTTGAGCTTCTGCAGGCATCTCAACCATGTATTTGCATTGATGGAGGAAAAAATCCTGTGGATATATTTGGGTTTTTTCTCTACTTAAAGATGCTTGGAAAAATTTAAACAGATAAACACATGATTCATGGACCAAGAAAAGACTGGACTCTTCTGTCATATTGCTGCTTGTCTTGCTGTTTCAAAAGCAGTTTTTAAATACCTTGAGTCAGTTCAGAGCAAAACAGTTTCTCCTTTGCCCATGTGATACACAATTCCTTGAATGGGCTGAAGTGTGATTAGTCTTTGGAGAAATTGAACAACTGTCTAAGTTTCCTTTTTTTTTTTTTTTTGTCAAATACATTACAATTTCAGTAATCTCTGGGCTTTTTTTTTGATTGGAAATACTTGCTCCAGATGAAGTATTGTAGTAATTTGTAGTTTGCCTCCAACTTGGAAAATATTATTTTAGTTTTGTAGGGGCAAAGAAGAATGAGCTCTTTGCTCCCCTGAAATACATTAACCCAAGGTTCTGTATTTGTTCTTACTAGGAAGGATGTATCCTGGAAAAGCTGAAACAAGTAACTGTAGTTAGAAATGGGGGGAAAAAACCCTTTGTGTTTTTAAATCATCTTTACAATCACCAGCATAATGCTGAAAGGCTATTAAACAACTGGTGTTTTCAGGCTAGCATGGATTGCTGAGGTCACACACCCCACCAGACCTGGGCAGTTAGTCCTTGGG